AGCAGGAAAGAGAATCAGCAGCTTTAAGAATTTAGTTCTTTTAGAATTTATTTTTGGCTCTTGGCCTGAATGATTAGGAAGTATTTAGGGATTTTCCAACTTTGGAATCAAGAGAAATTGATTACAAGAGCTAGATATTTCTTTGGTGCAGTTCTGTTTATTTACAAACTCTTGTTCCTGAATCATTGGAGGAACAAGCAAAAGGTAACTTTTTGCTCACAGTTTTCAGGTCTGCTTTTCCAGAGAGTACTGTGCTGAGAAGATACTGCCTTCCTTGGATTTATCCCAATGCTGCTCACCCTTTATCTCACTATCAGATCACTTTTGTCTTTCTCGTCCTGTCTCTGCTACTGACATACACAGCTGTTACCAAAATGATGCTCCAACTTCCCTGTTTTTTACTGGTCTCGGGAAAACCATGAGTTTCTATTATTTCTATTGTTTTGGGGATCTTGTTCCTCAGAAGAATGTATTTTGTTCTTCCATACGTATTAAATAAAAGGTTGCTAGCAGGCTCATCAGCACCCTCTAGCACAAGGATGCAATAATGCTATTTAGTAGTTAAGCAGGGTTGAGTTCTTTAGCACTGTTCGTTTCAATGTCTGTAATTTATGTGGAAATAGTTGGCATTTTGTAATATGAGGCTACATCAGTAGGTAAAAAAAATAGAAGACAAATGTCTTAAAGGCCAATCCTAATTACCAGCTGGGTATACCTTCATTTGCATTCAGAGATTATCATGTGTCAAGTTTGCAGGGAAAGGCAGATTCTGCATTTAGAATGTTTTGCCCTTTCATTACCTAAAAAAAATGAGAAAATCCTATGAGGAAAAAGGAACAAAAATGTCATTTCCAAAATATTAGCACTCTTATCCAAGTCTGGTGGTCAATATTTTTTACTACTGCTGCTAAGTGCTACTTAAGAAAATGTAGTGGAATTAGGTTTACTCAAAAATTCCTGCCTCGTGTAGCTTTTTTCAGGACTTTATTTTCTGACTTCCTGTTGTTTCCAGTCTCCAGGCCACTTATTCCAGATGATTCCACTCCAGTGTTATCTCTTCCTAAGCCCTGGTTCTTCCCTTTTATTTCAGGAGACCACCAGAATATTTTTAAATTAACATAATTAGATTAAAAAAATTAAAAGATCCACCCCATACCTTTCTGTTTTCCTAAGGATTTAATTGATCATGAAAGCAAAGATCAAATTGAGATGGGAAATGTAAGTGGTATTTTACTGTGTTTTATGCACTTCTGAGTTTCTTCATTTTTGCTTAATCCATCTTTTCACATATTTCACCCTGACTTGATATCTGCCATGGTATTTCTTTTTACTTTGACTTTACTGACCCCATTCATCTCCTTAGAAGCATCTCTGTCCTTTTCTCAGGACAGTCATCTGAAAAAGGCAGCTCAGAGTACAGTATTTTCAAACAAAATAATATTTATTTGAAGTTCTTAAGTCTTGGTTAGAGCGCTCATGGAGATAAGAGAAGTCATGCACTGATATCAATAGGTTGATGTAGGTCATGATAGAAATACATTTTTTAAATTGAAGTTGTGTATTTATAGTGGCACAAGTGTTGTTTGATATATTACTCTCTTTGGGGCTCCTACATATTGGGTCACTTATACCTGTTCTATTTAGACTGGTGGGCATGGACATCACAGAATGCTGTGCTGCATGTAAAGCTATTTTATATTGAAATGAAAGAGGTCTATATCAAAATTACTGTAGCTTCCCAAATTGGTCACTATGTTTCATAAACATTTATTTCAACAGATAAGATTTTGGTATCAGTTGTCTCAGGATTCGCAGCTCTCTGTCTTCAAGAGAACTGTTCTTGATGTGGAGATTCAAAACCTAAGTGTGATATCAGGACTGTCCACGATGCAATGGACAAAGGCAACTATTCTTATAGGAAGCACATCTGAAGAAATGCCAACTCCTTTCCAGGTAACTGAATCAGAAATTACCTTTATTTTGTGTACAAATACTTTAATTTGTTTTTATAATTAAGGCATTTTCATGATTAAAAATTAAAGAAAGGTACCAGCATTAGAATTCCATTCAGCTTTTTCAGTAGAAGTGGTTACTAAGGAACTAAGCCAGTGTTTCAGTAGCCCAAGCACTAGAAGCACATATTTATAATGAGAAGCAAGTAGCAGATGTTCAGTATATTAAAAAATATGCACTAAGGATGTGTTATACTAAAAATGAGGGACTGATGTTGTTGGCTAGATGGAGCGTGAGTGTAGACCCTGAGATTATTCATTCTGTAACAATCACAGCCCTGATCACAGACATAATTAATCAACCACAGGGCTCAGTTTATAACTTTCACATTATCCCATAACAGCATTGAACTAAATTTAGAATTTCACTGCTAGATAGTTCACTCAGATGTAAAAGCATTAAATAAACGTATTTACCTCTTTTTTTATCTTTACATTTTGCACGTTACCTTCATAATCAAAGTTGTCTAATTGTAGATCACAGCAGGGGGTCTGAAACTTTTTTGTAAAGACATCAGCACAAGGATATTGCATCTAGTCAGTGGCAGAGCAGCTTTCAGCCACTTCGTGGCTGCCTCAGCAATTTCTCACCCCAATTATAGTTGCATAATATCTCTATGGATACTTCAGTATTTCTGCGTAGTCAGACCTGAGTGTTCGGTTTGGGCACAGGGTACACTATAGCCATAGCAGTGGTACACAAGGTATGGACTAATTTAAGGTTAAATTACAGTGGCTTGGGCACTATTCTAACACACCCAGTACCTGAACTAGCTTATTTAATACTAGCTTGAGTACCTGTACATCTACTGCAGGTGCTTTGTAAACATACCTTGGAAGACCTCTGTTAGGAAAGTGTTTGCATATTTAGCTTTGTTCTGATCTTATTTAGCAGTTGGGGGAAAAAGGAGAAATCAGCACTGTGGAATTAAGAAATGGACACCTGTACCCACAAAATATAGTTTGAGAACCGGTTTACCAGGTGTTTTCTGTTCTTCTCAGAAGTCACTAGTGCTAGACCACTAGGATAATACAATATTAATGTTCCACCCATGCTCACCTTCAGCCTCAATACTGACTCTGCAAATTAGTCATAGCCATATAGATTACATATAATCCAGTATGAGGAACTCCAATATTGATCATATTTTATGTTTCCTGCATAGTATTCTTTTCAGGGGATGTGTGATGAAAACTCTTATCATTCTAGCAGAGTTGAGGAATATAATGAAACCAAATTCTGTTGTGATGGATGCTTTTGAAACCACATTAGTGGTACAAGATATGCTTTTTAGTCAATCAACAGCATAAGAACAGAAGCGATGGCATTAAACATTTTCAAGGTAGCAATGATACATTACACATATCTGCACTGTTTAAGTAATTTTCCTTACTGAGTTATATAAAAATTAATTGCCTCAACATTTCTGGGTATTGTTCTGGCTCTATACTACCTAGAAAGCTATTGCTAAATAATACTAGGCATAGTTCCCTGTAGTTAGCCTTTGGAAAAGGTAGTAATTGTTTCAAACAGAAACTCTAGGGGACAAGTTCTGTTTCTAAATTTAGTTGAAAATGATAAATTAAATATTTTGTTCAAATCAAAATAAATCATGGAACGAAACTATAGGTAGCCCATATGCATACCTGACCTAATTCATTTATAGTTGATATCCCTAAATGTCTTGATTCACCCACTCCATTGACCTACAGCAACTAACTCTTCCTGAAATGCCATGCCCAATACAAAGAGTATACTATAGCACCAAAAATCATGCATTATGAGCGCATCTACACCTTGCCCTATGGCAGTTTGGTTACTGCGTTGTGTGCCATACATGCAGTGCATGGTTATTTTTAGAAGCTGCTTTGTCATACCAGCACACTATAACTGAGGAACGCGCCGCTATGGTAACTTCTGGTCACGTATAGACACCTGCGGATGCTATGTCATCATAGTGCATCGCTAGGGCACCGTAGTGTCATGTGTAGACGTGTCCTATGACAAACAAATGATCAGCTACAGAAGGTAACTTTACTTTTACACGTGTATGTCTGGGATCAATGTCATAATTAAAAGTTCTCTAATAAGTTGCCTCACACCATCAAATCCTGAGGTAAAACCCATATTGTTCCTCCGCTGCTACTGCCTGAAAGTTGAATACCAAATCTATGCAGAAACTGAGGAGTCCTCAAGGAGTGCTGAGCAGAGTACCCTCCTCTACAGGAATAGTAGCTTTTTGTTAAAAACTGGAGCATATAGTTTACTCCCACAGGTCAGAGTAAAGGGACATGTTGACAGCCCTTTGAGCTCTGAGATTAACCTGTGGTACTCAGTTCTGGGGTCAAAGGACATTTTTGAAGCACATATTGAAGCACATATTGAAGCTTGTTTTACTGCTGGTACTTTTCCCACACGGGGCATATTTTTACCAGTTTTCCTTCTATAAGATATAGGATCAGACCTTTGTGTCTTCTGCTAGTGTTAAGCAGCCATATGTCTAGCCATATGAAAAATATTCCCTTATGTGGTGCCTTCTTGGGTTATATACATGTACCATGGAGTTCTAAACTGCTTACCATCTTTCCCTTGATGCAGATCTGTCCTATGTATCCAATGTATCTCCATGCCACTATTTTTCTTCCTTGATTGCCCTTGGAAACTAACTGTATTTTAGAGGAGGCAAAGAGTGTGGAAGTGATCTGGGTGCTCTGATAAGTGCCCCAAAGGCAAGTCCTGGCTGTATAACTGTACAAGCATGCATAGCTTCAGTGGCATGCCCACATAATTATTTTTATTGTCAAGAAAAAATGATTCCCTTGCATTATTTTAAAAAGTCATGTTTCACATCTATACCTTAATCAGAAGGCTGTATTTCAGTAAAGCAATAGAGCCCTTCAGTGACTTCAGCTATAAAATACAGCTTTTTTATTTGCTAGCTGGCAGGGAGTTTGGGGCATTATGTGCTTAAAAATATATCTCAGCACATACACATTGCACTGTATATATTTCTTATATGGAAATGTCTTGTTGGCTTCAGCAGCCCATGGTATAAATGAATTCATGTCTCAATTAAATAGAGTTGTAAACCACCACAGTTGGTTACCCTGAATACCTCATTTAAAAAGGCATATAACTCTTGATAGTTCCACCAGGAAGACTGTACATTCAGGTAGTGATGAATGTTATCACTTTTGGTTGAAACAAGGTTATTTAGGTTACATAACTTTCTGTAAAGGTAGTTATGACTTTGAGAGTTGAGCTGTAAATTTCTAACTTGAGTCTTAATGTTCAAATATCAACCATATGTTTTGTTGGCTAATTGTATTCTTTGGAATGAGAATAGTTGTAGGTGGTATTTTACCTCCCATATGGACCTGGTAGATTATAAAAGAACTATATTTCCTTTTATAATGCCATCTTTAATAAGATTATTAATTTCTTTATCATTACAGATCATTTTACAAGCTATAGTTCCGTCAAAGAATGCCACGGTTGCTATAGATGACATCAGTCTAACGACGGAGTGTGGTGTTACCTACGAATCACTTACAGATAGCATCAAAGGAAGCAAAGGCAAGTGGCATTTTTTTAAATATTAGGTATGAAGGACTAAGTGTGGTGCTAATTCTCTTTTGTTGTGCTTCCCTAAAAGTTATTTTTAGTTTTTTTTTTAGTTTATTTTTAGTTGATTTGTAGTTATGATGTTTGTCATTTTGTGGTTTCTTTTAACAAAGAAATTAAGCTTCCTAACTAAAATAAATGCTTAAATTGTACATATTTTAACTTTTCATTGACAACACAATTCCAGAATAATATGACTTGGATAATAAAATCTGTACTTCAGAATATGGAATTTCAGAATAATTTACATAAATTCATATAACCTTGATAAAGTCAGTGATTGTGGAAAAAAATGTATCGCATAGCTAGCTTTCAGTTACCTGGTTGTAAACACATATTTAATGAGACAGCTAATAGACAGTAGAGATGTGTGAAATGGGCTGTATTCGCTTCGGATTTGGATTCAGCCAAAATCAGGGAGCAGTGTGATTCAATTCGTTGATTCGGATCACTGTCCTGATTTCAATTCATCCAAATCTGAACCTGAAGATTTGATGCTGATGCAGAGAATCAGTGAATCGGCCATAGACACCGCTTGAAAATTTTTTTACGTATCTCGAGGTACCAGGTATGGCTTGTGAATGCTGAGACAGTGGGGAAGATGGAGTGTCCCACCGGAGCGCGGGGAAGCGGGGGCCCCCACATGCTCAGTGGTAGACTCAGAAGTGGACCGGAAGTACTTCCAGTCTACTTCTGGGACGGCCACCGAGTGCGTGAGGGAACCCCCTCCTCCCCTGCACTCCCCCAGCTTGGTGATTGACCATGGGGGAACCCAGCAGGCACCAGTCACTGAGCCAGGGGGCAGGGGTAGGGGCAGGGCCAGGGTCCCCCATGTGTTCTACCAGGCTGGATCCAGACGTGTAGGCACATGTCATTTGTGGTGCTCCAAACCTCTTTGCAGCACCACAAACTGCACAAGTTGCACCTTAATTAGTGCGCAGCACTGCTAATTTGCAGTGTTGTGGCAAAATTTGTTACCAGAATTTCCTGGTAGCAAAAAGAAAAGAAAAAATAAACCCCTGGAAAAAAAGCAGTGAAAACCACTCCAAAGTGGCGGGCTCTGGGACAAACACAGAGACGGGGCAGCAGGCAGCCAAGTGCTGCCTCCTATCCTGTCTCTGCATGCTATGGAGCCTGCACTGCCCAGCTGGCTGGGGCACAGGGTGCCTCAAGACAGGGGAGCAGGCAGCCCTGGGCTAGCTGCTCTCCTGTTTCCTCATGCCTGAGCACGGAAGCTCCACAGTGGAGCCCCCACTCTGAGGCACATGGAGACAGAGGAGCAGCTAGCCCAAGGTTGCCTGCTCCCCTGTCTCGAGACACACTGCAGCCCACCCAGGCAGGGAGTGGCTGGCTGGGGCACAGGGTGTCTCAGTGCAGGGGCTCTGCAGCACACGGAGATGGGGGAGCAGGCAGCCCTAGGCTGCTGCTCCCCCATCTCCAAGTTCCACTCCCCAGCTGGCCAGGGCACATGGTGCCTCAGCTCAGGGGATGGCTAGCCCCTGCTGAAGCACCCTGTGCCCCAGCTAACCCCCCACCTGCAGCACGTAGAGTAACAGAACAGAGTGTCCTGTTGCAACGCACATAGGCAGGGGCATGCAGTGTGGCACAAAGTAGTGGTGCAAATTTGTGCATCTACTATTACTGCTGCTGCAAAGGCACACCTCTGCTCATGTGAACACGGCCCCAGTGTGTATTTTCACAGATTGGATTTCTGAATTCTTCCAGCTCCACCAACATACACCAAATCATGATTGAACCATGTCTTTATGAATGTTCAAAACTCCTTGTATTTACACCGTGTGTACTTTAAAGAAGGGATGATAAACATATGGCTTATGGGCCAGTAGTCTAGTGGGGTACTGAAAGCTGTTGGGGTGTGGCCTGATGCAGAATTTGGGGTCCTTGGGCCCCAATGGCCATGGCCATTGATGACAGCTCCCTGAACTGCCACCTGAACACGGCCTTGCACACCAGCTACCACTGGATTTATGTTGCTATCCAAATGTAGCTTCATGTTGCAATCAGCCCCAGCCCTATTCCCTGCTCCCCAGTGACACTCATATATCATACTGTATACTTATACTGTCATACTATCCAAACCATGTAGGAATTATTAGAAAAAAGGGTATATTCCCTTTAAGATTTCCTTAAAATAAAGAATCCCAGTTACATATCAGTCATACAACAGCATCCTTTTTAGAAATATGCTCTTAAAGGAGAACTTCCAGTAGTCTTGACAAAACTAGTTTTACCAATATAGCCACAAATTTTCCCCAGACTGAAGAAGATAAAGTTGCATCCCCTCAAATTTTTAATTTTTTAAATAAAATTTGTAGATTTCAGGTATTTCTTATAAAGGTGACTATTCTGGATCCTTGTTTTATGCTTATATTGTATGGTGAAACTCCAAACTCCTAAGATCTTTCTTATAAAGAAGAAACATTATGTTCTGAGTCAAGGCACAGACACAAAAGCTGTGTGCAGATGAGTGCGGCTGTGCGGCATGTGGCTCCACAAACATGTCTGCGTTGTCACATACTGCACATCCATATGTTCTCTGCACTGCAAGGCCATGCTGCCTGTGTGTATGCTGCTCCACCTTTTTTCCCCTTGGTTTTCTTTGACCTCTGAATATCCAGGGGTCAAAAAATCCCGTGGGGAAAAAAAAAAGCAGAGCAGCGCGTGCATGGGCAACACACGCTGCTCAGAAGTGGAGCTGCAGTGCCCGAAGCCGCACTGCAGCTGCTGGCCAGGCTCCACACGGCAGAATCGCTGCTGCTGCAGCCCCAGGAGGCCCCAGGACCCCAGGTAAAGCTGCTGGGGCCAGCACAGTGTTAGTCCCAGCCTTCCTTACCCCATCCGGAGTAACTTGCTACACACCAAAGCCCGTGTGGCACAGGTGTTCCCTGAGAACAAGTAGTAGTGGTGCAAGGTGTCCTGCTGCTACTTGTCCCTGGGGAACCAAATGTCCATGCTTGTGGGGACATGGCCAAAGGGTGTAATTGGATGAGTGTGCATATGCGGTTTGCAGTGCCACAAGCCCATCTGCTGCACCACAAACTGCATACACCACACTTGCATGCATTTGTCACGCTGCTAGTTTGCAGCTTGGCAGGTTTTTTTGGACACTGTGATCTCCTGGTGCAAAAAAACCCCCATAAACAAACGAACAGACAAAACCCATGCCAGAAAAAAGCGGGGTGGTACACATGGTAGCATAATGCGCTGCCCAAAACAGGAGCCTGGCAGGCCAGAGCCACACTCCAGCTCCTGTCCAGGATTCATGAGTCTGGATTGCCGCTGCTGCATCCCTGGGAGGCCCCCAGGAACCTAGGTAAGGAGGCTGCAGCCAAACCAGGTGCTGGCCCCAGCCTCCCCTACCCCACCTGGGGCAACTTGCCACATGCCAGAGTGCAGGTGCAGGGGGATTCCCCGGGAACTAGTAGCAGAAGTACAAATATGTGCTGCTGCTATTTGTCCCCAGGAAAATGCATGTTCCTGCTCGTGGGGCTGCGTCCAAAGTTTCTAAATCCATTCTTGGATCCATACACACATACTACATGATTTATGCTTGATTGTTGTTGTTGAAGAAAATTGCACACTGCTGAAAAGACTGCTTGTGCTTAGAATGTCTTCAGTGGAGTTGAACACCTGAGTGTCATAGCTGCTTTTGAAAAATTCCACATGTAAATTCTTCTGAGCAACCATCATGTATGAATCAGTAGATCTGTCATGGACCTGGCACATTTTTGGATACTGTTTAACACCAACTGGATTTCTGTTCTTCTTACCAAAAAAATCATTTTTGTATATAGTAACTGATTGTACCTCTTTGAACTATTATCTTGGATTTTTTTTCTTAAGGGGATGTAGAGTTTAGAACCACTAAATCTTCACCTTCTCATTGTCCATTGGGATACTTGCCATGTGAAAATGGAAGCTGTATTTCATCTAACAAGTTCTGTGATTTTACACCTGACTGCGCAAATGGTGATGATGAAGCCAAGTGTCGTAAGTGAAAATATATTAACAAATAACTCATGCTTTAAGGATGTATATGTGTACTCATTGGAATCCTTATTGCTAGGTTTCCATTAATTCATGAGCAGATCATTTTAAAAATAGTTACAACTCTTGAAATACAATGTTTTCATTCAGTCTGTATTGATGTCGCTTCAAATTATAGCAGCTGCTTCCTTTTTTTTGTTTAAAATGAAAAAATATCCCTGATCTGACTTCTCAACAGAATAGAGCAGTTTAGGAGATGGTATTTGATTTTTATTGTTATGATGTGAAGTATTAGATGAACTGTTATGTTGGATAAAGAACATTATTGCCATGGTAGTTCATGGCCTGATGCTCACAGAGAAGTATTTAGGTATGTGTTTAATTTTCAAATGAAGATGCCACCACTAGACTCGCCTACTTGAAACTCAGTTGTTGCCATTTAGAAACTTAACTGACCACGTGAAAATGGAGTTACCCAGTTTGTATATGCAATCATGGTTGCATATGTCAGCTCTGAAAAATCAGGTCCTTCCTGTTGACTTGACCAAATCATTATTTTTACTATACATTTGTTACATTTGCAAAGGAGCTATGAGAGATACTTACTAAAGGCTTATAAGAAATGAAACAGATTTTTAGTAAATCATCAAAAGACCAGCATAATTATAAAACTAGAATTATATTATCTTATGAGTAGGGATCTTGGTATTCTCGCTTAAAAAATTGCAAATTCTCTGATTTAAAAAAAATCCCAAACGCTCTGATTGAAAAACCCCAAATCCACATTTTTACACAGTTGAAATGAAATTTCACTATATTTTTAGGTATCAGTTGAACACAATGTTTTATTGATATATTTACAAGTTTAAAGCAGTGTGGAAGCCTACCAGTGCCTCAATCATTATAATAAAATAAATTATAAATACCTATATATTTTGACATTT